CCAAACAAGGGGACCCCCTTGTTCTCTAGGCTTTCTGATGAGACCTTGTGACCATGCCTGTGTGCTCCAGTCACCCCAGTACCCTAAGGATCCCTTCTTCTGGACCAGCCTATGAATCTAAAGGTTCCTCAGGAGGTAGCTGAAATCTTGCATAAAAATGAAGGCTTAATTTATCGCGTAAAGGAAATGTGTATTTCTCTCCTTTTTATTATTTTATTATCTCCACAAACATGATCTCGTTATTAGATTATGATACAATAAATGTTATTTATATAGCACTTTTCAAAAACAAATTTATAAAGTGTGTCACAGAAAATTCATGTTTTTATGAAAATATGTATTATGTTATGTGTTTATATTCAAATGGAAAATGATGGCACTAGAGGAAAGATCAGGGTTTCACTTAAATTGTTGAAGGACCAGTGCCTTTTAAAAAAATCGGCGCCAGTAGTTGTTGGGTTTTCTTGCTGTGGACCAAATTACAGTATGTTGTATAGTATGTAATCAGTAGCCAGAGGTTAATCATGCATTGTTAGGGAGTGAGTATGGTTTTTACACAGAAACTACCATGTGAGTCTCCAGGTAGGAAACTTCAACTTAAAGTGAGACATCTATACATCTACACAAACAAGCCATGTTTGGTTCACATTTAATGTTATATTTGTTAATATATGTACAAATAAACCTTGATTTGTCTTTATTATGATGATAAAACCCTCTTGGACTGAAACAAGTTAGACAAAAATTTCCGTATCTCTTTAGACTGCATGCCATAAATAATGGGATTCAGGCTGCTAGGGATGATAACATACAAAATAGTAATAAATTTTCTGCTCTCTGCATATTCTGGGAAGCGATGGAGAATAATGATACACATTCCACTGCAACAATGAATTAATATCAGATACACAACCAGATGAGTGCTGCAGGTCTTCAGGGCTTTACTATTCAGAGACTTGTTCTTACTTATCAGACAGACTACTGTGATCTTGGTATAGGTGAGAACCATGCTGCCTATAGACCCTGTGTATAGGACTGCAGTAAAAGTCAGGCCATACATATTATTGATAAACACACTCTCACAGGAGAGTTTGAACAGTCCAGCATTGTCACAATAAGGGCTTCTGATCATAGTCCTGCATCGGTTCAGTCTTATGGTCAGACCGAGCAGAATCCCGACCAGAACAAAGGCCACTCCCCAGGCAGAAACTGTCAGCTTCACCAACATTTTGTTGGTCATTATGGCAGCGTAACGCAGGGGATTGCAGATGGCCACATATCTGTCAAAGGCCATAATCATGAGCACAGTGCGAGCAGTGGTACTGAACATATGTATGGTGAAAGCTTGGGCCACACACTCGTAATAACTGATGAGACGTTCAGAGGGTGGACGCAACATGTCTATGAGCAAACGAGGCAAAATGATAGAGCTTCCAAGTATGTCATTGACTGCAAGGTTTGAAAAAAGTAGATACATAGGCTGGTGAATGTTTTTGTCTATGAAAACATAAACAGCAATTCCAACATTTGCAACAATTATAAACAAGTATGAGAAAAATATAAAAAGAAACACAGGGTAGACAGAGTCCTTTGAGACATTTAACCCCTCCAGCTGGAGTGTGAAGCTGTTGTAGGTGTAGTTTTCCATCAACCTGAAAGAACAAAAATGACAGTGTTCTGTTATTTAGCAAGTATGTGTAAGTAAATATTCTGTAAAATGGATATTGAATTAGTCTTGGCAATCTAGATATCCTTGATATCTGATATGTTAAATAACAATATTACCTGTACAACAATAACAAATGCAAAGTTAAACATCTTAAACATCTTAATATATTTTGACTACATTTTGAAATTATGAAAATGCATTTTCTTAACAGTCATGCTTGTAATGCAGTAATACCTGCTTTGTGACTTCATGTGTGTTCATCAGTTTTAGTCGTCACTACAAGCTGGTGGTATTCACCAACAGCAATTAAGAGCCACTACTTTTTATAGATGCATTTTTACATCATGGGAATCACTTAGCATTGCATAATGTGTGATGTAACAGTAAGGAATTAATGTGATCACCATTTCAACTGTCAAAAGCCAATATTTAACTTTCAGAACATTTAAAATTTTCACATGTCTAATTTTACCTGTTCCACACATTTATTAATACATTTACAATTATAACTTACCGTAACTGTGCCTGTGCAGTGTTTTTATGGCACTACTTTCACTCACTGCAAAGAAAAGCTTAATGTACTATTAATTATATTTTGCTTCTATGGGCAATAAACTATCAAGATAATTTACTCTGAATTTGAAATTTTTCTCTGAGGTCTAGTGTATGTTGTTTGAAATTGGCCTTGGTGGAAGTCTGTTCTCTCTTAGTGCTCTTTTAGTTTTTAGTTGTGTTACTGTGTGTTCTGAGCACAGTCTGGTCCATGGTGTGTTAACTTGGTGCAGGGGCTGGATGCGAAGGACATGACTAACTCCTAACTGGAACTAAAAAGTCGTCATATTTGGTTGTGTCTTGTTAGAGACTAGCTTGCCACTGGTACGTCTACATTAACAAATAAAGACAAACTCAAATCTCTGTTGAGAGAGTCAGAGGTGCCACATGTTCATCACTACCTCGACCTTTACGCACAAATTTCATCTACTACATGAAGGAATTACTTTTGGCACTCAATGCTTACATTCAATATCAATCTAACCTCTATAAAGACTTGGCTGCATGACGTCATGGCTGACATACAGTGATTGTCATAGTATGGTGCAGCTACAAGGTATAGAATCTGTATTATTTGACCATTACGAAATATGTGGTGAAATTTTTTTGTTGTGGGTTTATTCTCATGTAATTGAGATGAACCTCTCACAAGACTGAGTAACATAAGCAACAAGTAAGAGATTGTTGAATATTTGTTTCTTGTTGTTGCAGCATCTTGAACAGAGTGTCCATTAGTGTTTACAACAAAGATGAGACAGGAACTCTGCAGGGACCCTCCTCTGTTGAGATCATTCACTGTCGTAACTAGTCACATAACAGTTAACCTTGCAAAATTAGTTTTTACAGTTTAAACCTGAACCTACTTACTAAATCTGTAGATTGTGAACATATAGTTAATTATTATTTCCATCAGAAACGCGAATATGAAAGAGTCGTTCAGATAATTTATTCATAATATCTAATATGCTCACTATCCTCAGACCTGCCAAAAGCATAATTTCAGCCCATACCAGTTTGTGTGCCTGGCTTGAAACATGTGTCTGTGATTTGTGGCTGGCTGTGGAACAGATGACAAACACTTTACCCTGGCAAGGTTACTTGAGGGGTCATGGGAGTTTGCTCATCCAGTCTACATGTGCTTTTTGGACTTTGAGAAGGGATGGAACTGGGGATTTCAGGGGATCTTGGGGAACTGCAGGAAGATGGGGTTCTGGGGCCATTACTATGAGATACCCCATCCCAGTATGACCAAAGTGAGAGTTGTGTCCGTATTCTCGGCAGGAAGTCAAACACATTCCTGGTGGGTTTGTGCCTCCACCAGGGTTGTCCCTTGTCACCAATACTGTTAGAAATTTTCATAGACAGGATTTCAAGGCACAACAAGGGGGCGTAGTGGGTCCGGGTTAGGGGCCTCAGAATTTCTTCCCTGCTATTCGCAGATGATATGATTCTGTTGGTCTCATCACACCAGGACCTTCAGCATGCACTGTGGCAGTTTGCAGACAAGTGTGAAGCACCTCCAAGTCTGAGGCCGTAGTTCTCTGACAGAAAATGGTTGTTTGGTCTCCTTAGGTTGGGATGGAGTTTCTTTCCCCCAAGTGAAGGCATTTAAATAATTGGGGTCTTGTTCACAAGTGAGGGGAAGATGGAATGGAAGATAGACAGGCGGCTTGGTGCAGCATCAGCAGTAAAGTGGGCGTTATACCGGACTGTTTTAGTGAAGAAGAAGCTGAGGTGGAAGACAAAGCTCTCACTAGCTGATCCTTGTTCCGACCCTCACCTATGGTCATGAGCTTTGGGTAATGATTGAAAGAATGAGATTTCAGAAACAAGTGAAATTAGTTTCCTCAATGGGTGGCTGGGCTCAGGCTTTGGTGAGGAGCTTGGACATCTGGAGGAAGCTTAGAGTAGAGTTGCTGGTCCTTCCCGTCGAAAGGAGCCAGGGGATGGTTCCAGCATCTGGTTAGGATGTCTTCTGGGCACCTTGCATTGGAAGTCGTCCAGGCACATCCAATTGGTAGGACACCTCGGGATCCCCCAGGAGGAGCTGGAAAATGGTGTTGGGGAGAGGAACATGACATGACTTGACTACTTCGCTTGACCTGCTGCCACCTGACCTGACCTTGGATAAGTGGAAGAAAATAGATGGATGGATGGATGGATGGATCATGGAGTCATTAAAGTCAATAAGTTGTTCAGTGAAGTTTTGTGGAAGTCTGTCTATTAGACTATGATATAATAAACCTTATTTATATAGCTGTTTTCAAAAACAAGTTTACAATGTGCTTCATAGACATAAAAACAGACTTATGAAAAATGTGTATGTAATGGCACACGACGAAAGGTGAGGCTTCACTTCAATTGTTTAGGGACCAACAAATTTAATCAAAATCTGGCCAGTAGTTTTTGGGTTTTCTTGCTGTGGACCAAATTTCAGTACATGTTGTATAGTATCTAATCAGCAGCCACAGGTTTATCGTGCATTGTCAGTGAATGGAGTCCCTGTAGATCCCAGGAGTTTTCATTACTGCCTCTTGTAATCAGTGTTATTCTCTGAGCTCTGATCAACATCTATTACTGGGCCTCTCTCTTTGCTCCCACGGGGCTAATTACCACCAGAAACTGTTTGTAAGTGTTTTGTTAGGAAGTGGCTCACAGTGGACCTCATTAATGATTGCGTTTGTTTCAGAATCATTACCACTGATTACTGGCTGATGTGGTAACTGGGACACAGTGATGAAACTTTTACAACTGTTGTTGCTTATTATTCACAACAAATTTTAACAATGCAAAACTCTGATATTGAAGAGTTCCTGTATAAATACTACACATCCATGTTAGACTGGTTTATGGGACAATCATGCTCTTGGACAATTAGAATTAAATATATTGGTCAAGTATCCTCATACATACAAGGAAAGACATTGTTTTACTGTCTGGTTGTTTTATTGTACAGTGACCTTACTGACCTTCATGTTCACTTCAAATGCAGAGCACACAACATTTCATCATTTCACCCAACACCTGGCCGGTACTGTGCCTGAACAAGAATACAACCAAGGCCAAGAATTACTGTATATTAATACTTTTTTTCTAATGTTTTAATAAAATGCAAGACATGAACAGATAGTATAAACTTATTAAAGTCTTAAAACCAGAGCTTGAAACAAGATTAGGCACTTGAATAGATAGTAATCCAGTGCTTAGCTAATGCTGCGCTTTAGTCAGTCAAGCTTTACATTTACATCTCAAGCATGAGTGTTAATGATAAAGGCTAAGCTTAGCACCTATAACATGTGCTGTATGTGTGTTTGGTAAAAATAGAATATAGAAATTACATTCAACATTAACATGAATATTTGTTAATGTACTTTGTGACAAATCTAAAAAAAACCCAAACAGGATACATAACAAGGATTAAATTTGTTTTTACTCAATGTGATTGCAGAGGTACACTGTGTTCAAGATTAAATGTTAAGCTGTTTAGCTCTATCTGCTGGTCATTGTTTGCTACTACAGTGTAGTACATAGCAAGAACACTAAAACAAATTAAAATTCTCAAATATCTTGCAGTACACTGTCTGCATACATATTTTTAACATTAACATACAAGATAAGCTGTACTTGAGAGGGAAAGGATGACGGGTGGAATCAGAAAATTCTGTGATAAGCACACATCATGTTTGCAACATTGTAACTTCTGGAGTTCAGTATTTTATTTTAATATTTTTTAATGAGCAGTGATTTCTGGGACAATCACACCTACCTCCGAGGTGCATGGACACGTAACTTGATTCCTTCTTTAGAGTAGAATGAAAGCCACGCACTGGTCTCACAATAGAGTTGTTCTTTGTACTACAAGTGTTGTCAGAGATGTGACCTCTTCAAAAACCATGGAGCACACAACAAGTATTTATTTAAAATTTTTAAAAATATATATTTTAGAACAACACAGCTCTGTTGCAGCTTTCTTTCACTTTCTAATGCACATCACAGTTATGGTACAGAAATAATCTTGCATACTTTTATATTGCTTGATTGATAGTCCCCATGACAGATGGGTCACATACATTTCAATAGTAATTCAGTTTTTCAGTCTAATATCACATATCTATTGTCAAAAAACTAAGTAGCAAAGGGACATATTAAAGACAAAAATCAGAATCAGTAGTTTACACTGCACATTGCACAAGACTGAAAATGTGACATATTTAATACATTTAAACAACACAAAATCTTTTAGGTAGAAAATCTAATTGTTATTATTCTACTCATTGTAATAGACAGGAGTGAGGATCAGAGGGGTGGAGCTTTTACCACCATGACTGAAGAATGGGTAGAGTTTCTCAGTGAAGGAGCAGCCAGTGAAAGAGTAGATACGATCTGCAGTATCAACATCATAGAAGGAAACCAGGCCCTGCTCATAATCCACAAACACCCCGACCTTCTCAGGCTTTGCAGGGAGCTTGATTGGAGAGTCAGCATGAGATGTGTATTCTCCATTCATCAGACCTATAGCCCAGTAACCCTCTTTGGGATTCAGTGGACCTTTTCCCTTCCTGTTGATTGACTTTCTGACCACTCCCAAATCCCAGTCAGTGTTTGCGTTAACTTGAACCTCATAGTAAAATCTTCCTGAAGAGAAACCCCGCTTTCCTAAAACATTGTACAAACAAGAAAATCTGTCTGAACTGTCTCTGACATTTTTCCTTATCTTACTATGCTTTACTTCTTTTCCATCATCAGACAGGATGAGTCTGGGATGTGCTGTATCAGGATTAAGTATCACATCCACTGCATATCGCTGGACCTTCTTCAGCTCTGCTTTATTCATTTCACCCAACTGTGCCTCAGTCTCTTTGAGCTGTTCAACCAGTCTCTCCACAGCTATTCTCACAGTGCCTTCATATAATGGTGGAGGTATGCTGACCTTTGTCCAGTCCTTGGTTGGTAGAGCAGCATTTAGGGACAGGAAGCTTTGGAGGAAATCTAAGTCATCTTCATTGTATGAGAGCTCCACCATCTTAGCACTTTGCTTTGTTAACTCTAAGATTTCCCGTTTCAGCTCTCTGATTGAATCTTTGGCCTGTTCCTCTGTCGTTCTCTGCTTCTCTTCAATGGTATCAGTCACGTTCTTCTGCTGTCTTTCCATCAAATTCCTTAAAAAGTTGAAGATTTGAACACCACCTGTTTTCTCTCTGTTTGCATCTTCATTACTGAGCTTCACAGAGTGTTTGATCTTGTGAATCTTCATTCGTCTCTGTTCAATCATAATTTGAATGTTAGCCTCTGTCTTCCCCAGCTCCATCTTCTTGTCTTTATGTGCTTCTTCCAGAGGAACAATATCATGTTCCTTGTGGTCTAAAACCATACAGTGCATGCAGACACATCTCTGGTCGACCTTACAGAACAGCTCCAGGGGCTTTTTGTGTTTCTCACAGAATCTGACTTTCAGGTTCTCTACAGGGTCGCTCAGCTGATGTCTTTTCAGGCCTGACTCTGTCCGATGAGGCTCCAGGTGAGTCTCACAGTAGGAGGACAGACACACCAGACAGGACTTCAGGGCTGTCCGTTTGGTTTCAGTGCAGATGTCACAGGAAACATCTTCAGAGCTGCTGCTGTTGGCTGTCTGTTGAGCTTCATGTCTGAGCTGATCAGCAATCTGAGAGATCAAAGTATTGACCTGCAGCTCTGGTCTTGTGTGGAAACCCTGTTTACACACAGGACACTGGCAATGGGTATTAATATCCCAGTGTTCGGTGATGCAGGTTTTGCAGAAGGTGTGTCCACATGATATGGCGACTGGAATAGTGAACACATCGAGACAGATGGGACACAGAAACTGATCTTCAGTCAGCAGACAGATGCCTGCAGCCATGATCTACACAGTGAGAGTAAAATTGTAATTCTTTGTTTAAAAATATCAAAATATTTTTCCTGTAATACTAGGAAAGACACTTTAACACTTTCACACAAGTAATTATTTTGCACTGAAATGAAAGAAAAGGAATGAGAGTTATTTGGTTGCAGAGATGTTCGTGAGCTCTCTGAGTCAATTCTGAAGTCTCAGGGGTAGGAATCTAAATCATCAAGTCTCTAATGTTTCCAACTTTAAAGTAGTCAGTTTGATAGTTTGGATTATTTTAAGTGGGGTTGTATGAGGTACTTATCCATAGTCAGTCATAGTCAATAGAGCTTTAGTTTCATGATAATGTCTGTAGTTGAACACACCAACAACTTTATTGTCCACCATCATGGAAATGTATAATTAACTACACCTTTGCAGATTACAACATTAAGACATAGAACTTCAGAAACCATTAAAACCATATATAAGTATTATTAATAATCAATCTTATCAGCTGTACTCACCAGTACTTGGCAAAGACTCTGTTGTGTTGTTGAGAAAAGTCCTGATGAACTTAGGTTACTTTTTATTTAGACCGGAACAGAGAGACTCACAGCCACCTTACTCTTATACACTTTCTCCTTTATTGCTCCACCTCTTATTGCAGCTTTTTGGGAGACGTTTTTGTTCGGATCGTGACAAACTCTTGGCACAATCTAGAGCAAAACATCTGAGGCATGAACACTGTGATTATTAGAAAGGTTAGGTTAACTGGCAACTCTAAATTGCCTGTAGGTGTGAATGTCAGCATGAATAGGTTGGGCTACCAACCTGACCAGGGTTTTTCTGTTTGGTATCCCCTCAATATTCTCCGTTGTTCATGTGTGTGTTGTGTTGAAGATGACGTCATGATAGCTTTGTGCGTCATTGCTACAGTAAAAACATCGCATTGAGGGAGTACTACCTGCAGTGGAAAAGGAAGCACCTGGTACCGTAAGCCAGTAGAGTCAAGCCAGTACCATGCGGTGGAAAAACATTATCCAGGTCAGTGCAAACCTTAAGTTGTGTTCTCATTGTGACTGAATACTTAAATTGACAGAGGGGTCAATCAACAACCTAACCTGTGACAGTAAATCTCAGACTTATGACCTGAATTGTTAGACTGAGTCATAAAATAATTATTAGTCATTAAGATTATTCTTTGGGAAACATAATGGCTTTTCCAGGCAACTAACTTCTGTGACTCTGAGACAGGTGTTTGAAGGGATTCCAACTTGCCTTCACCAGGTAAGTCCAACACTTGACAGACCTGCTCTCATTAATCCTCACAGTAACAAAAACAATATCTGAAGGCACTTCACAGGGTAAGGTCAACACCTTACAATATTATACCAGAAACCCATCAGTTCCCACAAAGAGCAAGCACTTTGCAACAGTGGGGAGAAAAAGTCCCTTTTAACAGGAAGAAACCTCCAACAGAACCATAGTCATGGTGAGCAGCTGTCTGCCTGGACCGGTTGGTCTAATGTAACAAGATTTGTTTGTATCATTACAAATTACCAGGCTGATAGCAGCTGACAAAGCTGTGGAATGAAGTTTAGCCACCAAAGAAACATCCTGTAAGGTCACAGTGACACACTTTCTTCAGTGTATTGTTTGGTCTAATTAATTAGACTTAATGATTTCCTGTAGGGAAGCTCTTTTTCCCAGCACTGGACATCATTTTACACACACTTGCAGGAATACATGAGACACAAGAGCAACAGGTAGAACAACATGAAAACAAGACGTACTTCCCTCAGTGAGTCACTCTGTTTAGAGTTGCTATGGCTGCAGGTACCAGGCCCTTCTGCACCTCAGGGTCCCGGACCTGCGTACAGACGGCAGTACACTGAAGTGGTGGTTGAGTGGATGTGTGATGTCCTTGGCTCTTGTATTTGCAATTTGTGTGATAGCCAAACACTTGAGCTCTGAGAGGTTGGGTATTGGCAGACCCATTGTCTTGGCAGCAGTTTTGGTTACGTGGGTGAGCTTGGTCTGGTTGTTGACTATCCTACTAAAAAGGAAACCACCTGCTGGCCTGTAATTGAAAATTTCCCTGTAGCTAGGCGTAGTCTGTGCTGTAAATTCCCCTTCATTTTCTTCCTTGATGCATTCTTTCTCAGCACTCCCTTACTTCCTCTCATGCAATCATTTTTCCTGCCATGATTGTTGTGGTGTCTTCTACTCTTCCCACATAATAATTAATCTGATAATAATCTTTGTTCTCAATCTCAATCTGCGTTTGGAAGTGAAGCAGGTTAATGACAGCAGCAGCGCCATCTGCTGCAGACAGACCAGACTGCAGCTCAAACACAGGTCTCCAACGGTGATGTTTCATGGGCAACCAGTATCTGATGTTTTAGATTCCCTTTTCACATATACATATGAAATGACATTTGTGCATTGTAAATTTTTGAAAAAGAAAAAAAATGTCCATAAAACTTGGAACAAAGTTGTTATGAAAAAGTTTAATGTATTTCATGGCATTCACAGTGTGTCATGTGTAAATATATCACACAAACAGGATACAGTGTATAATAATGTTACAGTGATACATTTGGCATTTTTACTTTTACATTGTGATGGTCACATACACTCCAAAAAAAGAGAAGTTGAGTAACTTTTTCTCAGGCCTATAAAGTTTAATTAACTGAACTTCTTTTGCTCCTTCACTTTAATATCTCCTTAACTTTGTTATTAAATTATTGTGACTAAGATACTGTAAGTACTGAGCTGGACATTTAACAGTGAAACATTCTGTACACTTGTCGGTGCTCTCTACAGAACAAACTATTTTATGGAGACTGCAAATAAATTCTTTTTAAGATTTTTTGTAATTGTTTACTCTTTTTAAATATAATTAGTCTTGTGAAGGCAGCAACAAGGCAACATTAGAATAAGTTAATTAATAAAGACGTAAAATAGGTTTCATAAGTCTGATAATACTCTTTAAGATCATGTGAGATTATCATCATGATTTTCACTGATTGAGCATCAAAACAATTTTTTCTTCTTTCCTTTCACTATTCCCTCTTTTTGTACATTCTTCATTTTCTACAACCTCCTTTAATACCTCTGTATCATTTCCCTGTTTGATTGTTCTGATGGCTGAATAAAAAAAAAGCAGAATTCACAAATGAAGTTTAATTTCATTCATGGATTGTGCAAGAAACAATTAGTTGATCGACACAAAATTCATAGATGGCATGAAAAGGTTAAAAAATGACTAGACCTGTGTTGCATATTTTGTAGAGGTGTGTACTTACATTATCCTAAATGTTTCCATCACTTTTCACACCTGGAGAAATCTGTCATTTTAATGAAGGTAAAGGTTTGCTTTTTTATTTGGTCACCTGTCACTGTCACTGATGTCATATCCCCTCGTTGTGGTTGTCCGCCAGAAGCAGTCAAAATAATTCATGCCGCATTTTTACGATACACTGTTTTAGATCTTGCTTGTTTTAAACTGTATATTTTATATTTGCAATGGTGGTGAAGACAACAACTCCCATGATCCCTCACAACATCACCAAATTCAGTCTTTTGTTTTGAATGAGAGACCCCTAGTGGCAGAAGTTACACACTGTGTGTTTAAAGATTAACTGATAACAATATTTATTGGTTGTCACTTCAGTGTGATGGATACATAAAAAAATCTCAAGCATTTTCAAGTTGTTAATAAAAGAACACTCAGAGCATAAACATATAAAAAAGTGTGGCAAACGTGGTTTTTAAAACTATGTTTGTGTGTTTGTGTTCAGCTGTGTTAGCTACAGATCAGTCCGTCTTCTCATCATTTAAACAAAAATTTTTTTTCATCTTTTGATCTTCACAAACAGATGGAAGCCAGAGTTTAATGAAGCTCATCTCATGTTGTATTAATCTCTTAAAAACATTTAATGTCAAAATTCATCTTTAAAATCCGTTTTTCCTTCAAACAAGCAAAAAATTCTGAAACCAGGTAATTTGACCCCTGCACTCTAATTCATAAAACTTAATCTTTTCCTTAGTAGTTCTAAGATTTCTTTAGAAAAGAAACATTTAATTTAAGCTAATTTGGTGCTCTCTTTACTTTCAGATCGTATTTATTTCATGGATCTGTTTCCTTTCTGCACGTTCATCAAACACAAGTTTCTCTTCCTCAGTTCACTTACTTGGCACCTACTTGGCTACAGCAAATCATGAAATATTTGATGTAAGGAATCTATTGCAGATATTTCTGGAAACGTTATGTATGATATTCGGGTTAGAAACATCCCTTTAAGTTTTATGCAAATGAGCACTAAACTCTCAACTGCAAAACTGCAAAAACATGTCGTCCAGAAGTTGCTGGAATGTGATGATCTCAGGAGCAAAGGTGGCAGATGGCTGTTTTTCTAGAGAGTTGATTCGGGTCAGTGCTGGGAGACTCGTCAGTGGTGGATCATGATGAGCTGACACATGTCAAACACAATGATCCGTGTCACCATGCTGCAGGTTATTAAGTTAAATGAAAACCTTTGATGATATTTGATGAGATGCGTTCAAAGCATTTGAATCTATGATCTATGATCTATGGCCTTTTCTTGATTATTGACCCTCATGAACTCGCCTCTTTAAAACCTGTTTACTTACATCTTGAATTCTGGTGGAAATCGCTGTTCGCAGAGACATCGGGTTAAGTTTAAATTTATGACAGGTTGGTGGATTGAGCCTTTGGCCTCTGAAATGAATTAATATTTAAGCAAACATCCCTGTTACTGAAAACAAAGACTGATTTTAGACTTAATGGAAAGTTAAACAAATCATTTTATCAGTGTACCAACTCGCTGTGATTCTCTGAGGCCAGATCTAATTCAGATGGCTTTTCCCAGGATGAGAATGCTCATGAAGAAGACCATGATGAAGAACAGCCACATGAAGAAGCGGTCCATGACCTTAGCGACCTTCCTCCACTCCCCAATGCGCAGCTGTGCTGCTCGCTGGTCCTGGTATGAGCTGGCAATGAACTCAACACTCTTGCGCAGTCCGTGGTGTTGGCAAACACACTGGGTTTTCACTAAGATCTCCCTCCTGTTCTCCTTGGCTCCACCTCCTCCTTCACCTCCGACGCCTTTCTTTTCTTCAACATGCTCTCTTCCTCCTCCTCCTCCTCCTCCTCCACCGGCACTGTTTGACTCCTCTCCTTGCTCCTCACGTCCACCAACAGCTCCTTCCTCCTCCAAGTGGTCGATGGTCACAAACAGATCCTCCTTCCAGTCTGTCTGGTTGGTCAAATCCTGCTCCAACTTCAGAGACGCCCCCGCCCCATTCTCTTCCACCCTCCCTCCCCACGCCTGTCCATTCACATCCCAGTTTGGTCCTCTGGGGTTGGCACCATTGGCTGATGTGGCTTCAGACTCCTCCTGAGACAGAGGTTGTTTCCCGGATGAAGTCACTTCGAGGCAGTTTTCGCCGACTTCATAGACAAAGCAGATGCGGGCGAGGTAGTTGAGGATGAAACGTTCAGCCCATTCTGGGACGGGACGAGCCTCTGGACCGCAGTGGTGTATGTTCATGATGAAGATGGTGAGTGCTGTTGAAGCAGTGACCATCGTCATGGTAGCAATGTAGTACTTTCCTGTTGAAAAAGGAAACTGAAGATCATTTAGAGGGTCAAAATCCATGTACAGTTAAATAAAGACAAATGTCAGTTTTTCTTGTCAGGTGCTGAGCAACCTTAAACCACCTGAATGATAAACATACATCCTCAGGCTTGTACTTCTTGTACGTCATGTAAAGTAACACTGAATCGAACTGTAGCCCAAATCTGCTCCAACTGAGCTGAACAACGTGAAATGTGTTAAAAATCTAGTTTACTTTATAGTGCAGTCAAACAGTCTCATAAGTATTATCTTTGACAAAGACAATCAGTTATTTCTGCGTAAAACTCTCCAAGATGGAAAGAATTGAAAAGGTTGTACAGAAAACTCTCCACTGAAATGAGAGAATGTAATGAACTGCTGCTCATTGATGCCTGAGCTGTGATTATCATATTTTAAATAACTGCTGACGGACATTATCGACCCGCTGGCCTCCTGTTCATTACAGTGATGTTAGCCAACAAACATAAACGCAAACACACACACACACACACACACACACACACACACACACACACACACACACACACACACACACACACACACACAAACTACAAATCTGCTTGCTTGGCAACTTTCTTCTCAGTGAACTGTATCACAACATGCTCTTAAAGTGAAGGGATACAAACATCCTGCCTGTCAGCTGCAGGTTTTACCCTTCAGACTCATGTGTATTCTGGGTTCTTACAGCCATGAATTAAAATTCTCACACTAACAAAGAAAACAGCATGACCTGCTCACCACCTGGAACACAAAACCTTCCCCATCAGCCAATCCCACTGAGCAAACCAAATATTTGTCTGAACAACATGGATTTATTATGTTGGATCCTCTTGACTGATTTGTTGCTTGAATCTCAGACTTTTTACATAGTAAAGATTTTAAATATTTTGGACAGAGATATAAAAGTAGGTTTCCACGTGGAATCCACATCTGTGCTGAATCAGGTGAAATCTGGACCTAAGGAGGTTTTAAAGTCCTATTCCACTCAAAAATTACCTTGACTGTGCAGAACAGTGTTTGTGCAGATTTGGACTCTAGAGGGCTGGTTTCAAATGTATCTGCTGCAGGGGAAAGTGCTCCTGCAATCACATTAAATCCCAGTTTGACACCAGTAATCACAAGAAAGGTTTTAGTCTTGTCTTGGTCCAATATAACACTTACACAAGTGTGATGTGGAAACCTGAAGCCTCCAGGTCACAAACACAGTGAAGTAGGAGACGTCTTCTGTCTAGAAATTTTACTTTGTTTTCTGTTCAATTTGATTTTAAATTCATGCCACAATGAAAAACAGTTCTTTCAGTTACTCAAGACAAAGGGATAAATTATTGTCATTTAACGTGTGTTTTTCATTTAATTATGCCACAAAAAATTAATATATAAAAAGAAAATACATATAACAATATATATAGCATTTCACATTGTCTTTGTTTGATTTGTCTTTATTTAAGCATTTTAAATCTACTATAAATCTTTGGCACATGATGTATTTAATGTCATCTAGTGTCTACAGCAGCTGCAGAACATACAATTATAACAAGATAACAAGAGAGGCCAGATCAGGACATACAAGAACATGTAGTTTCTCTCAAACTGGTGTCTTGCAGCAGTAAGTAGCAAAGGGACACATAAAAGAAAAATATTAAGAAGATAATGAAATCTTTTTTTTAAATACACCTTGACGTAGCTGTACCTGCTTCCTCTTCTACCATATATATGTTATAATGTTTTAGGATCTGAGGTGTACCCAACTTCCCAGTCCCTGGTTCATGTTCAGATGGGGGGGGTGATTGTTGCATTTCACCCCTACTACACAGCAGGTTAAGCATGAATTAGAAAAAAGAAGTTTACTGAGAAAACACAGTAATCTTAGATGGGGAGCAGCAATAACATGTCCTTGAAAAGTCCTTGGGTAATCATATTATTATTATTATTTTTTTGTCGCTTATGGATTTTTTCGTATTCTTGAATATATTCGTACTAAGTTAACCTTGATGTTACGGACTGGACAAATGACCAGAGGGTCAGAGTTTTTCCCACCATCATTATTACAGGGATTGAAGAATGGGTAGAGTTTCTCAGTGAAGGAGCAGCCAGTAAAGGAGTAGATGAGAGCTGCAGCATCAACATCATAGAAGGAGAGCAGACCCTCCTCATAATCCACAAACCCCCCCACCTTCTCAGGCTTTGACTTCAGAGAGAGATGGACACATGGATCAGCAAGAGCTTTGTACTCATTTCCGTTCCTCAGAGATACGGTCCAGTAACCGTTCAGAGGATTCAGTGTGATTTGCCCCTTCCTGTTGACTGACTCCCTGGCCACTCCTAAAACCCACTTACTCTTCCCTTTAACCTGAACCTCATAGTAAAATCTTCCTGTAGTAAAACTCTGCTTCCCTAAGACACTTGCATAATAAGAAAACCTGCTTGAACTGTCTTGAAGATTCTTATTTACATCACCAAATGTCACTTGTTTTCCATCACCAGACAGGATGAGCCACGGATTTGCTGTCTCAGGATCAAGGGTCACATCCACTGCATACTGCTGGACCCTCTTCAGCTCCACCTTAAAGACATTCTTTATGTCTTTCCTGAGTTTCTTCTCCAGCTCAACTACAGCTGTTACCACAGTCCCCTCATATGATGGTGGACGGACACTGATGTCTGTCCAGTCTTTGGTGGGTGGAGCATCCTTTAAGGACAGGAAGCTTTGGAGGAATTGGAGGTGGTCTTCAGAACATGAGAGCTGCTCCAGCTCATTGCTTCTCTTCATCAGGTCCAAGATTTCCTGTTCAAGCTCTATGATCAAGCCTTCAGCCTGTTTCTTTGTTGGTCTCTGCTTGTCTTTGATCATCTCAGTGAACTCAGCCAGGCCTCTGTGAACAGACTCTCTCAGAGCAGTAAACACCTGAACACCCTCAGCTATCTCTCTGTCTGCATCTTTATTACTTTGGTTCACTGAGTGTTTGAACTCCTGAATCTTCAGTCGTCTCTTCTGGATCATCTGCTGAATTTCAGACTCTGTCTTCTCCAGCTCAGCATTTTTTTCTTCATATTCTTTTTTCAGAGGAACAACATCATGTGTCCTGTGGTCTAAAACCATGCAGAGCATGCAGACACATGTCTGGTCGGTCTTACAGAATAGCTCCAGAGGTTTATCGTGCTTCATACACATCCTACCTTGCAGATTTTCCACAGGACTGATCAGCTGATGTTTTTTGAGACCTGTGACTGTCAGGTGAGGCTCCAGGTGAGTCTCACAGTAGGAGGACAGACACACCAGACAGGACTTCAGGGCTTTCAGTTTGGTTCCAGTGCAGATGTCACAGCAAATATCTTCTGATGTGGCACGCTGTAGCTCTGAGCTGCTGCTGTTGGTTTTCTGTTGAACTTCATGTCTGAGCTGAGCAGCCATCTCAGAGATCAAAGTATTGACCCGCAGCTCTGGTCTTGTGTAAAAAACCTCTTTACACACAGGACAGAGGCAAGGGACATTAATGTCCCAGTGTTCAGTGATGCAGTTTTTACAGAAGTTGTGTCCACATGGTGTAGTGACTGGATCAGTGAAAACATCGAGACAGATGGAGCACAGAAACTGATCTTCAGTCAGCAGACAGCTGGCAGCGGCCATGATCTACACACTGAGAGGAAAAATAAATGTGTGAAAGAACAAAACTGGAATTCTTTTTTTAAAATATCAAACTGTGACTTCTGTATTCCTGGGAGAGACACTTAAAACTATGTTGTTGTTCCATTTCCAATCAACCATGAAATTAAATGAATGTGACTTCCTGCCTAAGCAGAGTACATGTTAAGTATCACCAACTATACTCACCAGTGTTTCGCAGGGACTCCGCTGTGTTGCTGAGAAGGTCCTGATGAACTCAGTTTAGTTTTTTCTTTAGAGAAAACAGAAACTCAGCTGGCCTGCAGCTCTGCTGTCACTCTTTTCTCTGTGAAATGTGGTGTTGAAGCTTCCCTGTCATTCAAGTGTTGCTTGGCTCTTACTGAAACTCTCAGGATGAGGTTTACTTGCATTTCTGGTTTGGGCAGGACAAACCTTTGGCATCTGGAGCGAGGTATGTACATTTATAACAGCCAATAAGACTTAGCTTAGTCTATGTTTGGGTCAATAGGCCACAACTCTCCCTCTAAGTGGGTAAAATTGTAACTGTCATGTTGAATGCCAAAGAGAACCAAAGGTCTCAAAGTGGAGGACAGTTTTCAAGAGGTTTGCAAAACATCCACCAGACTTTGAGTTTTACTATTTCACAATAACATTTTCTTCTCTCTAACATTGACATTAGATTCAGAAAATGCTGAGCTGACAGAGGAAGTTGTACTAGTTTGACAGGCTGCAGGACTCAAATATATGCTATCACAAGCTCAAAGTTGATATGATGTAATGCACATGTCCTGCCCTCTATTGTTTGACTATAGTAGAGTAGTGGTTTTGTCCCTCAGCCCATCTTTAGTCAAATGTTACTGTTTACCAAGAGTAAAGTACTGTCAAGGGGCTTTGACAGTTTACGTTCTGATATTATGTCATTTACAGAGTGCATCCAGCAATCATTGACAGGAACTGATTGATGTCAAAACTAAATGATTCCCAAGAATCCGATAATTTGGAATAAGAACCCAATCTCGATCACTGACATTATGTTTTAGTTTACGAAGTATTTGGTCTACCCCTTTTATATAACACAACTACTTAACAATCAGTTTTACTTGTACCATCATGACCGCCACTGATTGATTTAGAAACTCAGGAGCTCAAAAGTTTTTCTCAACAAATGACAAACAACTTTAATGAAACATAAAAATCAGGTAGTCCTTGGTCTGCTCACCTATCAGTGGGACGCTCTCGGAGGGTGGCATGCTCTCAGCCACCAGCAACTGAAACACGGTAAGGGCCAGCAGCACCGTGACACCCAGAGAAACCTTTTCACCTGAGTCAGCCGGCAGGTAGAAGCCCAGCGGGGCCAGAAAGGAGATCATCATGCAGGGGATGAGGAGGTTGAAGATGTAGAAGGAGGCCCGTCGCTTCAGGTGGAGGGTAAAGGTGATGTCCGGGTACGGATCCGAGCAACAGCCATACAGGATGACATTTTTCTTGGCTGGCATGCCCAAAACCTGGTTAGGAAAAAAGATTTAAGATTTTTGTCAAAGAACTAACAAACGCCTTGATGTGAACACATGACCAATATAACAACTCACCTCCCACTCCACATTGGGGACAAAGTCAGCCAGGTCAGCACTGTCCAAGGCATTGAACAAATCCATCTGGTTGCCGTTGTGAGTCCAGGAGCCGAACGTCAGGTGACACTGCTGGACGTCAAAGGGGAAGAAGGCCACATCCACTGAGCAGGAGCTTTTGGTGATGGCTGGCTGGTCCCACATGACCTGACCATCGTTACGGAGAACAACGTTGGTCTCCATGGAGCTGGAGAACTCGTCGTCTGCACTGTGATGGAGAAAGTGGAGGAAGTCATGTGAAGGCAGGGATAAGGGACAAGGAATAGAAGACAGGAAGTCATAACTCAGTGTTATTGCCAACTAATGCTTCCATACCAGTGTCCTGCAGCTGGGCAGGAAGCAACCTCTACCTGTTATACAGAACAATATCAGGTCTCCACACGTAGCTGCTGGGTATGCGGATGGTGTCGAGGCCGTCGTAGTCCTCTTTCTTCCAGGTGAGGTAGGCGTCATTCCACACCTGGCGTATCCACAGGTAGGTGGTCAGGATCTGGTTCCGCTCATCCTGGTGAAAGGAAACACCATCAGGGAGGGCATGAACACACACAACGTGAACATCTGGATCAGCACTCAGGGTTTGGTTACCATGTCGATGATCTGGGAGAGAGTGATCTGCAGGGTGACGTTGATGATGTGGTCAGTGTCTTCCACCGGACGCAAGGCGTTGGTGTAGTTGGAGAACAAGTCATTCAGCAGCTTCTGAGCGAAGCGACCATGAGCGCCCAAACAAACTGGAGAATAGAAAGAGAGAGAGACATTGTCATCGACCCAGGTAGATGAGAGTGTTGGTCAGTCCACCTCACCAGAGCTGGTATGTCCTCCTGGTCAGATTTCTATTGACAGTCCTGAGCTCATTCCTGTTCCCCAGAGGATTAACTACTTAGACTTACTGACCCCATGACCTTCTCTCTAGCACCCTCTTCAGGACAAACTCAACATTCTCAGCTCCATAACTCTTAGTTAAATCATTCGTGTGTTTATTTGATCTGTTCAGCAGTTTCATATTGCTGCTGTAATGAACACTTAAGCCTCTAGGGGGCGCTTTCCACAGTCAGCCTTTATATTTACAACGAAATAAAAATAATAAAGTCAAATTAACTGTGTCTGTATATGGAAAATCATATCTGTGATTTTACTCTTGATTACAAGAATTTTGGTAATAAGTATTTAAGGGAGTCAATTTCTTGTGTTTCAATCTTTTTCTTGTTCACTTTAGTCATCTTGGCTTTAAATAACTTAATAAACCTTTTTACAAACACTACTATTACCATAGTTTGATCCAAACTTTGATGCTCTCTTCACATTTCAAATGTGAATCTGATTCATTCGCACATCATTTTGGACATTATGAGGTTGGAAGTGTCCTAAAGTATAAAGTCCTTTTCTCTGTCGTGATTCTCTCTTTATCCTGAAATGTCTCATGTAAATCATGAACACACACATGATAACACACACACACGTGCAAACCACATTTCCCACTTCAATTAACCGGGTCATCTCCTCAGGTGTTACAGATTAATCAGAAAAACGTCTGCAGCAGCAGACCGATAATTTCTTTAAATCCTGTCACAACATGATGATGGTGATGATGATGGTGGAGGTGACCTGAACAGATGCATGTGTTCGTCTATGTCATATTATTCTCCTCCACATCAACAGCAGCCTGAACTGAAACTTTTCACTTGAATTTGCATAAAATGTTCATATGTAGACAAGACAATGAACAGAAATGATCAGTGACTTAATTTCATGATTCTCTGACAAACACAAAAAATACAGAGGCAAATTAATTTAAGTGTTTGTGAGAGTTCAGAGATCTGAAGAGCAGAATTATATTTTATGTTCTCCAAAGTTCACATCAGTAAGATGCTGTAAGTCAGCAGATAACATCTGAACCATCAGGCCAATAGCAGCAGACATAGCTTCATCTTCAGTCCAGTAACCATATAAGTAAATGAAGAGAACAGCCAACTGTTCAGTTGTGTAAATTAACGACAAACACTTCACTATCAGCTGCAGTTAGTCGTCTTCAGGCGGCCAAGGAATGAAGTTCAGTGGCCAAAGACACATCCTGTAAGGTCACAGTGAAACACTTTGCTGGCTGTCGCCTCAGACGCTGCAGTGCCTCATTTCTAAAAAGGTTTTGTTGGATTTATGCAGCTTAATATTGTATAATATTTTTCCAGACCTATGGTCCATATAAGAGAAATACACAAGTGATAAAAGATAAAAACAAAACCTCCAGGTGACGACATAAATAAATAGAACATATAGATAATTTTGTTGACTATTAAAATCTTTAAAGACAGCACTACCTGCTGTCTTTTATTTTAATGCTTTTCTTGATCATGTATTTGTCCGAATATTATTTTTCTGGAAATTAAGTTTAATTCAACAGTGTTGAGTTAGCTGGAGCTTCTTGCGGCTTGTGGAAAGTGTTTTGATTTTGTCATGAAGAAATTACATTTTTGATGAGAGAAAATTAGTTTAAGGGAACCTGGAAGAAATAACCAGAAACGTAAATGAACCAGGGAGAAAATCAACTGTCAAACAGCCAAGAATGTCATGATGAAGAGCTCAGAAAGACATTGAAAAAGTGGTCAGAGAAAATTATTTTAACCACCTGTAGGTGCGTTTCCATGAACCTGCTTAATGCACAATTTGAAATAGAAACACTTTTTTCACATTAAAGTCGTGGCTCCTGCTGTATCAGGCTCCATGGAGCCAGTTCAACAAACTGAGAGTCAGGCTGCTGGAAATCCATTGTCACATTTAATTGGAATGATATCACAAGAGGAGAAAACCCAGCTTTGTTCAGATTACATCACCCAATGGAAACACAGACCACTCACAAAAATTCTAAACACTCAACAACAATGACAAACAGAGATTCATAACTGCAAGAGGAGACATTAAAGACAAAAAAATAGTCCTGATCTCTGTCTCTCTCTCTCACACACACGGACAGAGGTTTGACAACATGCCTTGCACAAAAAAGGAAGTGCAAAAAGCAATGGTCTATTCAGCGACCTTCAGATAAGAAAATAATATATTAAGAAACTCTGACATGACAGTAGAGACACACACAGAGCCCTCCTTCCCCTGAGTGTTAACATCCTTTGGACAAAAATGGAAATGTGGAAATGAAGCAGACGGACATGAACAACAGGATGTAGTGAAAATCTGATTCACATCAGCTCTGTTTGTCTGTTTAAAGCTCATTAATATAAATGATTATTTGTGATTATTTTATGTATCTGTCTGGAAACATACAGTACATGTCTATTAATTATAAATCTGGTGTTTTTGTTTTCTTTATTTCTAATTAAAGCATCTCGGTGCTTTATGACTTCACTACCCCGCACGAAAATCTTCAAAAACACCTTAATATTTAAAAAAAGACTCAGTAAATTCCTGAAACAGGAAATAGTTTGTCCAGGACTGTTTGAAGTGATGGATTAATCCACATTCATTGTTCTAGTGAGTATTTTTGGGGTAGCTGTCTGTTGATAAGAAGAAAAATATTGAATAATGCATATGAGTCAAAAAGATTCATGTTTGTCAAACTGACACAACTTTAGGATTTTTTTAAACAAAATGAATAACATACAGTTTTAACACAGCACATTTAAGATGTTTCAGTTGTACCTGCTTGGCCAGTAGAAGGATGTGAAGGCTGCAGTGACAACACTCTGTCTGTCCCTGTGTCCAACACCTTCAAGATATCCTGACGACTACAAGCCAGATCTCCATTCAGTTTGACATTGTGTATACGGACTGGTAACAAATGAAAGTAAAATCCAACTAAATGTGTCTTAGTAAGGTGCTGGGAATAGCTTCAGTGGCCCTTGTCATAGATGGTCTCCACGTGAGGAACTGTCCTGTAGGGATCAGCATCACTCTCCAAAACATCTTCCCTTATTTGGTGTTTTGATGGCGGTGGTGGAGAGCGCCGCCTAACATGTTGCTCAATAAAAATCTATGTTCGGTGTTCAGTCTACTAAAGAACCCCTAGAATCTCTTTGAGGTGAACTAGAGACACCTCCCAGACACCTAGAACCTCCTTAATGACCAGTAGAACCTCCTCACTGATAACTAAAACCTCCTAAAGAAGCCTGATGGTGGAGGAAAGTGCTGTCTAAACCATTGCTCCAAAATATCCCATAGATGTTCTCACTAGACCCCTAGAACAGTACAAGAACTAACTAAAGGGCCCACAGAACCTCTTTAAGGACCACTAGAACCTCTTAAATGATGACTAAAACCCACAAAGTGCTCTTAGATGGCTTCCTCAATGACCCCTAGAACATCCTCAATTGATACAAGAACCACCTAAAGAACCATTAAGACCCACTAGAACCTCTTCAATGAGCACTAGAACATCATCAATGACAGCAAGAAAACCCTAATAACTCCTCAGTGACTCCTAGTACCTCCTCAAGGACAACTAGAACGTCCTGGACACTGACTAGAACCATCTAAAGGACCTCTAGAATCTCCTCAGTGACCACTAAAACCCCATGAACTTCCTCACTGGCTACAAGAACAACCTGAATCACCCCTAGAACCTCTTTAAGGACCACTAGAATCCTCTCACGCACCTCCTAGAACCACCTAAAAGACTTCTAGAATTAACTCACTGGCCTCATGAACCTGAACCTGCTTTAACACCACAAGAACCTCTCCATTGATAATTAGAACATTTCAAGGTCCAAAGAAATCAAATCATCCACTATTTCACCAAAAATTAAAGGTTAGAGACAAATCCAATAAATGAAAACAGATCAGTGAATTAGAACTTAGTTTTTTCTTCGTTCCTCTCTCATTAATCATCTGACGACATCTCAAATTTACCCGGCCAAACCTCTAAGTTAGGAACCACAGGCCTTAACACACCAACTACATGAAGCTGGTAATACTTGTGTGTTTTTCCAACTGGTACTTAAAATACAAACACCTGTTTGTCAGAAAAAGCAGGACCAATCAGCATCCTGCATTTGGCTCAGCAATAATGAGGTAAGACTGAACCTACAGCTAATTCCAGGTGAGATCAAGGCTTTCTGTAAATCGACCTGCAGCTCTGCCTCTTATTGTCTTTGTTCATTGTTCAAATGTCTCCATGGTCTGTTGAGCAGATGCGTCAGCACTTTATTGGACAGTATCAACTGCCTGGGAAGTGTTAGAGCTAACAGCTCTGAGAGCATGCCAGCTGGCACACACGCATAGTTGTGTTTCCAACCCTCCAGAGGACGGTAAATCACCTTATATTCATTTCCTGGAGACTTACTCAAACCATGACAGTAACCACTACTTGCCTTGGCCTAAACCTAACATTACCCTTACCTTAAACCATAAAATTTAATGATGTACATGAAGGGAACTTGCTTTTGTTCCTAAAAGGAAGTCGAGTCCCGATTATATAATTTACATAGGTATAGGTCCCCACAACATGAGTAATACAAGGACACACACACACACACACACACACACACACACACACACACACAGACACACACACACGCAAACAGCTTAGGGTCATATTGACTTAACATGCTTGCATCTGTTCTTTGCACTTAGCCGTGATGCACATGATTCTGGCCATCTGTGCACTGAGCAGCATGTATGGACTTTCTTGTTACCGTGGCGATGATGGATGGTGACGATGATGGTGAAGACGATGATGCTGATGACGAATACGTGCTGCATTATGTCTGTGTGTGTGTGTGTGCGTGCGTACTTGTTTTACTCATGTTGTGGGGACATGAATCTGTTAACACATAGTGAGGACTCGACCCAAAATTTAAGGGTGAAAACTTGGTTAGGGGTTAAAGGTTAAAGGTTAAAGGTTGGGGGTTAGGGGTTTGGGTATGTACCTGGGAAATTGATGTATATCAATGTTAATGTCCTCTGAAGTGATGGAAACATGACTGTGTGTGTTGGTACGAAACATTCTCATCCGGAGCCAGTTTCATCCTTCACTTTTAAATGTGATTGTTAAGCTGTTTTCAGACATTTCCATCTCCATCTGTCTGGTACACTAATGTTAACAAGCTTTTAGTAATAATGTACAAGTTAAATTTACTTATTTCCATCGCAACTTTGCAGAACTGAATGTCTTGTTCAATTAAAGTCCAAATACCCAAAAATATTTACTTTACAATGACATATGACAAAGAAAAGAAGGAAATTCTCTCATTTCAGAGGCTGGAATCACAGAATATTTGGGATTGTTTCACAGTCAACACACAGTTAATCGATTATCAAAATAATTGATTCATCGACTAAAACCTGACTTGATTTTAAATCATCTGGGACACTCCTGTGTTTCTGTTAGGTCACATTGAAGAGATACATTAGAGAAAAATTAGAACTGGGGATCCTGAGTGTAGAAAAGCACATCTGGAACCAGCGGTTCTTCATATTTGTAACTGTATTTGGAAACAACGCTTCACTTCTGAATGTTGGCACTGAACTGCTTCAGAATGAAATATCTCAACAACTAATGGTCAGTTGTCCATGAAATGAACTGTGGATTTTTTTTTCTGTCATCATCCGATTAAAATCAACATCAGAAATATCATTAGATTTTGGATCTTTGATAAAACCACTGCTGGAGATAGTTGCAGCTTTAGAGGATAAAGCCGTGGAGAGGGTCGTCACAGTGAAGATGTGTGTTTCCAGCTTCAGTGTGTTTGAATTATCTCTGCTGTTTAACCTCTGGAGGTCACGCCTCCTCTTATCTGGGTGGATGTTGTGATTGACAGCTTTAATCCTGATAACCATCAAGGTTTATCACTGCTCAGTCTGCCTCCCTCCATTGTCCCAACACCGAAACGCACACACAGTTCAGTTTTCATCACTTCAGAGGACATTACATTGACTTGCAGCACTTCCTGGAGCCTTAACCACAACCACTACTTGCCAAACATGAACCTTAAACAAAGTTTTGACCCATTCATTTCATGATCTGCATCATGGGAACTTTATTGTCCCCAGAAGGAAGTCGAGTCCCCACAGTGACTGTAAACAGATTGTCCCCACATGTCAGGCTGACACGTTGTCCACCACAGTTTAAAAAAACAAGGATGTGCACTTTTTTGGTAAGTGGTTACCTTTTGAGTTAGAAATGAATAATTTCTGCATCACTTTGTCCTTCAAAACCAGACTAGGTCCCATTTCTGGCAAGTTACTTGGTCACATGTCTGAATAAATGTCGAGCCAACAAGTTTGGACCTGGTCCAGTATTGGACATAATAAGAGTTTAATTTAATAGTGGTGCAAGATGAAAAGTCAGACATTATTACAACGTCATCCTGAGGGAACATGAATACCTGAAACAAACTACATCATAATCCATCCAATAGTTGTTGAGACATTTCACTAAAAAACACGAATGTCAACCAGCTGGTGGCGCTAGAGGGAAAATGAGGGGATCACCAAAGTGAGCAAGAGACATCCTCTGAGGACTGTGAATGTCTGCACTAAATTTCACAGCTATCTGTCCAATAGTGTTGTGATATATTTTAGACTGACCCAAAGTGGTGGCCGTGCTGGTCACTAACACAGTGTATATGACAGTTTTCTGATCTGTACGGTTCAGGTTTATTTAGGTTTGGACATAAATCAGCTTGGTTAGGATCAGAGAAAGACGGTTTTCACAACTTTGAAGTTTGAGGAAAAGGAATTTAAATTTAAACAATATCTGTGATATTTTGTTGTTACAACACAAAAAAAATGTAAAATATATAAAAGATCAAATCTACAATCGGCTCTTAAATTATGTTTTAATGTAGATAAAACAGACTTTTTAGAAATTTGACTGGCCCATAGAGTCCTGATTTTACACACCATTCATTTATTAACCTGGGGATTCTTTCACAATAAAAGCATGATTATTTGAATTTGAATGTGGCGTCTAAACCACCACATCAGGCTCACATCTGCTCCTCATCCCTCACCTCCTCCTCACGGCTGTAAAGTCTTTATTTTTTTTGTCCTCCCGTCCTTATCGCTCGGAGGCACAATGAATCCTGAACGCCCCCAGTCTCCTCGGTGTTCAGCCATGAACGAAGGCATGAACGTTACTGATAAAGGCTGAGAGCGGATGTTTACAGTGTTTGGAGTTTGAAAATGATGAGTTGATTAATTGAGTTGATGGACAGAGATGGAAAGAGAAACGATGCCTTATTCCATTTTAGGATTCGCGGTCCTTAACTGTATATGACAGGAAACATTATCTGGGTTTTGGACTCTTGGTCAAATAAAACAAACAATTTCAATGCCTGCTTTTTCACAGGCATTTTCACAATTTTTGATTATTTCTTTAGATCACAATAATTGGAAAATGATAATGAAAATGTTCCAACACAAGGAAACAGTCTGGACCAGCTGTTTTTTAAAAGCAGAACAATGTGTGATGAAGATGTTTTGGTTCAGGAAAGTGATGCAGGTGAGATTTCCTCCACACAGATTTAAGGTGTTTGAATCAAACACACATCGATGACTTTAATCCTCAGTCTTTATCTTCATCTCTTTACACAGTCCTGAGGCTGTGACAACATCTGGATCACAACCAGCTTCAGCTTGTTTGTTAGAAATTAAATGATAAATAAAATGAATTAGAATAATACAGTCACTGCTTTAACTGAAGAAGCAACGTTTATTAAAGGAGCAGAAGTGAAGCTGAAATCGTCTCACCTGGAAGAAAGAAGTGGAGCAGCAGAGAAGCGATCGATCCGCTGCAGAGGAGCCTCATTCCGTTCTGATAACTGATATTGATCCGCCAAAGAAATCGATTACAATACTGTAATCACACTTCAGCCTCCAGCCAGCCTCTGACTGAGAGGCAGAGAGGATAACACACACTGAGGGAGAGAGAGAGAGAGAGAGAGAGAGAGGGAGAGAGAGAGGGAGAGAGAGAGAGAGAGAGAGAGAGAGAGAGAGGGAGAGACGAGAGAGAGAGAGAGAGAGAGAGGGAGAGAGGGAGAGAGAGCAGCTGCTGATGCAGGTCAGTGTGTTCGCTGTAGTGCGGTGGTCTCTAATGTATGAGGGGTCATTAGTGCCACACAGGCTGGAGAACATGAACCATGCTGTTCATCCTCACTGAAGTCATATTTTAAAGAGTCTGTCAGGTCGTTAAAGTACAGAAGCAAAGAAAGGCCACACTCACAAATATCTTTTTATCCTGTTATCTGAAGAATAACGAAGCTCGTTATTCCGAGGTAACATTTACTTTGTCTTTATCTTTTAATTCAAATGTCTGCATGGAGGCCTTGCTGCCAAACTGTGAAAAAAAGTTTTAAATCTAAAGAAAAACTAAATAATATTTAATACATGAAGTCATGAGCTTGAGATAAATAGTCTAAACATTTTGTAACTTCTGTAATAAAGTGACTTAAACCTTTAGGAAAAACTTCAACTTCTTAGTCTTCAGTATTACAAGGTGCAAAGTTTGTCGCCACAGCAGCTGATGAATGTGAAGATAAAATGAAAACTCCTCGCAGTGCACTGTGTTTATAACAGAGAAGAAGAAGAAGCTCCTCCCTCTGTGTGATGGCTGTCAGTCTGTAACAACAGGGTTTTTAAATCTACATCAGCGAGCGTGTTCAGTGCTTCAATAATTAACAGACAGGTTCAACCACTTGTCTGATTCCTTTGTAACAGGAACCCAATTCTGCTTGTACCTTGAACACATCAGGTGTCGACTACTTATCCCCCCCATCAACCAGCTCACACCTTCACACCCCTGCACACCCCTCACCCAGTGTTCAGTTTCAACTTGTGTTTCCATGAATTATAGATTCAGTCAGAGAGTCTGTCCCAGCTGTTTGTGACGCCGTGTGCAGTGTTTAATGTTCTGTTGAGCAGACAGGCTGCATGTTGACTGTTTTACTGCATTTATGTTAATTCATCATGAGCAGTTGGAATAAAAATTGAAAATATAGGGAGAGACTGTTTTGTTGTGATTCTCACTGTGGTTGATGCAGTGTGAATTATACAGTGACAATCAGGGGTCAACTGTTTTTCACACTTTCAATGAGCCAACAGGTAAAACTCCTGAATCCCTGAGTGAAAACAAAGAGGGTGACTATTATAAAAACTAATGTTAAAGGTAAAAGACTGAACCACCACATGAAATAATAAACTCTATATTGATGTGAAAACGTTTCTCTACAACAACTAATCCTCCATCGTCTCACTGCTCATGACTGAGCTCCAGAGTTTGTAACATCAGATCATACATGACATTTTATTTTGGTAATGAAATGACAAGCTAACACTGGAAATGAAAGGGCATGCTAACAGCTAGCTAACATGAGTTAGCTAAACTGTAACTTAAGGCCAAAGTCAGAGACTAGCTAACATTAGCTTTCATCTACTTTTCACAATCTAATTTAGAAACTGAAGGTTCGAAAGTAAAGTGTATTAAATAAGTTAGTTAGTTAGCTACTGCTACTTACATTTAGCTACAGCGTCTGTGCGTCACGCTGGATCAAAAAGTTGAGGACAGAGCCACTGATGGAGTGAGGCAGGTAGACAAGATTTTTACAGTGATCTGAAGAGACAGAAGAAGACGAGTTTCACCTTGTTAACATGTTAAATTAGCATCAGATTAAAGGGGGGCAGGTCTGGACGAGGCTTTACTCTCGTCTCCTCAGAAAACCAGCTACTTCCCTAACTTCACTAAAGGAGGTTCATACTGTCTGAACTGCTCTCTCTTCAAAATCTGTTTGTCAACATCCAGGGCCACAGGGAATATTTGCTCGGTGTATTATCAGGATACTGTCACCTTTGACCTCTCTCTCTGACCTTTGACCTCTGTATATGCTCAGTGTGAACAGTTTATAATCAGAGAGACGTGTGAATAAATGATAAATAATAAAGTTTGGAAAGTGAAGTGAGGACATGATGAAGAGGAGATTAACGGATTAGCAGGAAATAAATTGGCTGACAGACACAGTGGTGATGAAGTCAAAGAGTCAGAACCTGAACACCTCCATCTTTTCTTTTTAATGCAATTTAATTTTCCTGTTTGATCTGCTCGCTTTCAGTTTTCTAAACTCACAAATATGAAACACGAAGATTTCACTGAGGAGAAGAAAATAAAAAGGTTCAGGTAATTTATCAAAATAAAGAAAAATTAGTTTTAATTATAATATATAATAATATATTATATACATATATATGTACATATTTACATATATATGTATGTGTATATAATATGTTTAAAATTAAATATATACACACACACATATATATATATATATATATATATTTATATAACATACTGACAGGCTTTGGGGGCTTTGCTATTTTAAAAAAAACTCTAATTTCTAATAGGTTTTATTTATTGTTTTTACATATATGTTAATATATATATATATATATATATACGTATATGGGCCGACACTGATCCAACAAAGAGAAAATATTTTGTTGAATTTTCAAAATGCTTTACATAAGACATAAAGCATAAAAAGTCATTAAGATATAAAGGAACAGGGAAACATTAAAGGACACATATTGTTTTAATAGATAAAACTATGAAAAGAATCAAACAACATAAAATAAGATAAAACAGAATAAATAAAGAAAAAGTTAAAATACAGTGAGAAATATAAATAAATCTGCACATCTGTAGTTTAAATTTAAAACCAGTTGTTCGTCACACAGGAAGTCAGTGTAGCTTCAGATTCCCAGCTGCCTTTCTTCATTTGTTTTTGTCTTCAAAAGCTTTTTGTCGGTGAACTTGAAGGTGACTGGAGGTTAATTGAGCTGCGCCGCTGCTGTCGGCCAATTCTTCAAGTCCTCCTGGAAATAAAAGAAAGAGGCTTTCAGGTGGGCCGGGGGCCAAAGCTGCACTGAACCGGCCAACACAAACCAGTTACAGAGCCAGACTTCAACAACACACAGCGACACTGGGAGCAGGTGTTTCTGAGGGCGCTCTCACACCTCACCTGCTGAGTTCAGGCTCAAGGAGCTCAGGTGTATCTGGTTTGGTTTCCTGTGCATCAATGTGAAAGCTGTCAATCAAACTGAGACCGTCAGAAAATGTTGTATCGACTGTAGTTCAAGTTTGTGTCTCTTCATGGGTTTTTTTGTTTTTTAACTGAGCTGTAAAAAGCTGTGATATTCAAACAAGAAAAAAGTTATTTCATACAGAGGCTCTGGCCCAGGGGCCCTCTGACCTCATGGGCCCCTGGGTGTTAAGGTAGATTTCTTGCACAGAAAACACAACACGATTATGTTTAATAATCAGAGCAGGAATAAAATCAAATTGTTGTTTGATCAGCATCAAAAGGAAATGTGTGACTGTGATACACAGGAGCAACGAGGAGGGAGGATGTGGTTTCACCTGAACCTCCACTAGAGGGCGTCAGAGCGTGTCAGATTAAACAGCATCCAGCAGGTGAGAGCGTCACTATAGGTACATACTTATTAATGATATGTTAACATGTCAGCAGCATGTTAATGTTGAAGCTTTAATCTATAACATTATATTTTGTAAGTTAACTCTTAAGAGAGAGAACCACCTGCTTTCAATAACACTAGTGATTATTTCAGATTTTTGCTTTTATAAATATTTAATTCTGCAAAAGAAAGAAATATGGAGAGATGACCAAAGAAGTAATCAATTACCTGAATTAGTTTTAATAATATATGTAATATTTTTATACTGTGCATTTTAAGTTGGTTGTACATTTGCATGGAGAAGCTTGGGCAAATCATATATTTAGTTGGTGTCTGAAGAGAAGGTAAATTCAACCTCTACAGCTTCTTCAAAAGTTGGTGCTCTGTTACTTTTAAATTAATCAACTTATAAAACAGCAAGAAAATTAAACAGTGTTTGTGTTGAGCAAAGGTTTGGGCACTGGAATCCAAACCTCCCGCTACTGTTTCCTGTGTCAATGGCTGCTATTATTTCTACAGTTACTATTTAACTTTTCAATTCATGAAATGAAAAGTAACAGTGCACCAACATCTGAAAGAGCTGCAATGGTTGTGTTTCACTTTAAAACTCTACTAAATATAGAATTTGCCCAAACTCTTGTGATGCACCTGTGTAACACAGTGTAATGTGACATTTACAGCCAGGCCAAACTTCTTAGACAAATCTGTCATTTTAAGAAAACTTCAATTATTTACCAGTCTAGATGTAATAAAACACAACTGCATATCTTCACAGACTCAGTGTTAACTTCTGGTGAATTCAGCATTAATACAATCCAACAAGTTGCCACCTCCAAACTTCTGTACACGCCACAGTAACTGTTAATGAAATAGAAAGTGCGTTAACATTTGAATATTATTTTATCTTTATTTTGGGATGTATGTTGGCTGCAGTGGTTGTTGTTGTTTACTTCCTCCACATGTCACTAAATAAAGACTTTTGCAGCGGTTTGCAGACAACAGTTTGTGTATTTCAGTTAGTCGATAAAACCAAATTAAATATAAAAATATAAAATGTAATAACTGATAAAGAACTAGTCTTTATCTCGTGTTGTTTTATTTATTTTTGCCTCTTTCCCTTTACAGCCAAACATTACGTAACGACACGACTCCGCTCTCTGATTGGCTGAGCGGCCTGTCAATCACTGATCTGGCGGCCAATGGCAGCCAGCGGCAGGCGATACAAACTGACAGCCGCCATGTTGTGTCTCCGGGGGCCTGGAGGGACGTCCGGTAGTAGACGGTAGATGTGACCGCTTGCTCGGCAGCTCATAGGGAAGGGACCGCAGCTTGAAGCCATGAGCCGTCCGTCCTCAGCCGGAGCCGGAGGTGGAGGACTCGGGGCCGGGAAAGCAGGCGGAGGAAAGCACGGGGGCTCGGGAGGCGCAGCTGCCGCCGCCGCTGCCGCCGCAGCAGCCGCAGCAGCAGCGGCAGCTGCCGCCGGTGTGAGCTCCGTGGCCGGGTCTGGGTCGGCTGCCCCTTCCTCCGCCGTGTCCCTGCCCACGGCCGGCCTGCCCGGGCAGTCCACGGAGCTCACGGCGCTGTTCGAGTGCCCGGTTTGCTTCGACTACGTCCTGCCGCCCATCCTCCAGTGTCAGGCGGGTCACCTGGTCTGTAACCAGTGCCGTCAGAAGCTGAGCTGCTGTCCGACCTGCCGAGGCCCGCTCACCCCGAGCATCCGGAACCTGGCCATGGAGAAGGTGGCCTCCACGCTGCCGTTCCCCTGCAAGGTAAGACTCACCTGTTCTCCCGCCAACACAGACAACTGTTCACTTTTCATCACAACTTCCGCGTCAACATGCTAACCGACAGGTGTGTGTGTGTGTGTGTGCGCTCGCTCGCTCGCGCGCGCGTGTCATATGACGTCACAGGGGACCACGGGATCAAAACAAACCTTGAGTTCGGTTCCGAGTCTGTCTGAGAACCGTGTTTTGGTTCCGAGAGTCACAAGCCCGTTGACACTGAGAGGAAGGGGTTACAGCCTTAGTTTTCAGAGAGTGATGTGTGGAGACATTATTGAACATGAAGACGATGACATGATGACGTGAGTCTGACGTCACAGGGAGCTGAGGTGACAGGTTCTTCTTTTTAACTTGAATAACTAACTGTGTCACTGTCTCAGCTTCATGTGTTTAGAAAAGGTCGGTAGTTTCTTTAAAGGACAGGTCTAATATCGTAGTTTATTCAATATTTAAACACCATTTCCCATGAGCTCTAGAGGTTTGCAGGCTAAAGGTCAGAGGAGGTGAGTCCAGGAGAGTCGAGTGTCAGACTGAACACAGCTCAGGTGAAATGACTTTAAACACAAGGAGTTACAGTTACACACAGTCCAGGTTTCTCTGACCTGCACATATTAATGTGGAACAGGCTTATTATTCAGAATTATATCATGAACATATTATTATATTACATAGGTGAAAGGGGAGAATTGTTTTGTGTTTGTTTGTGAAAACTTTTATTTATTATTTCCTCATAAATTTGACGTCCCTCTCCCCCTTGCTTCAGTGTACAATACAGGCTTATTCATTTATTTATCTATCTATCTTCTAACATTACCCTGGTATAGATCCTGTGCTTGCTTACTGTTACACTTTTATGCCCTCTTGGCTTTTATTTTGACTTTTTTTTACACCTCACTTCCTCTTCCTGTCTGTCCACAAATCTCCTGTCTCTGCCAAATGAGAAATGAAAAAATTTATTTCCAAAAACCAAGTCATAGATATCAGAGAGTAATGCTCAGGTGTCCACATACTTTTGGCCACGTGGTGTAGACTCTGACTCCATTACAGACGCATTAAAGTTGAATCGTGTCCCTGAGGCCTGAAAGCTGAGGAGCTGTGACAGGGAGGGAAACTGACGCCTGCTCCATAATAATAATAATAATAATAATAATAATAAAACAGAAATCTCCAACATCGATTTTAAAACGATCAATAAAAACAAAATCAAACACTAAAAATGATTAAATATTTTGCATAAAAGCTGCAGTTCAAATAGTATGGGTTATAGAGGCATAATTATGACTTGTTATGTCTGCAGTGTAAAGCTGCAACAATTAATCAATTAGTCAATTAACAAAGAAAATTAAAATGTTTCTTTGATGTTAAACATTGACGCTTCGACTCGTTGGACAAAACAAGACGTTTAAAGACGTTGAATGGACTTTAAGGAAATATCATTTTTAAAATTTAGTTTAACCAATCGATTTATCGATTAATCAAGAAAATGATAAACAGGTTAATTGATAAAGAAAGGAACTGTTAAGTTTATTCTAATGTAGGGAACATAATCAAATATAGATGTAGTGAAAGAGCTGCAGTTATAACAGTGGTCAGGATGACTGAAGGTCACTGGTGTTGGTGGATCTGATCTGAGGTCTGTGGATCTGGTCTCATATCTAATATCAGGTTTTAGGATTTTGCGCATGTTTGCAATATAGAGTATTATTATTGATCTCAGCCTCACACTCCCCATCATATCTGCTGATGTTGCTCCGCCTCCTTCAGTGTGTGTGTGTGTGTGTGTGTGTGTGTGTGTGTGTGTGTGTTTAATGTGATGAATCTGATCCTCCTGAGCGCTCTGAACTCTCCATCAGTGTGTAATTGAATTAAAGCGTTTTTTTTATGGCTCCTCCTCCTCCTCCCCCTCGTCCTCTGGCTCAGCTTCTGTTTTTTATTTTATTGATTTTCCTTCTTTCTGTGTCTAACTGCTCAAACGCCGGCGCTGTGACATCACAGCCGGGGGCGGGGCGATGAGATGTAGAAATGACGGTGTTTGTATTTGTTGCTGTCAACCATCTTGACTCAGTTACTGGAGCCAGGAAACCTTCATTTTTGTTCTTCTGTGAAATTTTTTCCGTCTTAATTATATGATAACCGGGACATCGTTGCCGTAGTTAGGAGATCTTTACCTCTCATTGTTATGAGATCAATGGGTTATCAAATTTATCGATACAACCAGAACTGAACCGATGTTGTAGGACTTCTGTGTTGGTCGTGTGTTCCTGCCCTCGGATTACGACCCGGAGGAACGCACCGACAGCAGGTGTTCCAGACCTCCGTCACCATGGTTACAACAATAAACACATGGTTAAGGTTAAAGAACAACTTGGTTCGGTTTAGAAAAAGATCGTGGTATTGGGTTACGTAAATTACAGCTGTCCCCGCTCTTACTGTTGCATCGCACGCGCGGCTCCTGTCGCCTAGCAACCTTGACAAGATGTTTCCTGTCATAATCACCGCGACCACTAGAGGTCGCCTGTCAGCGAAACCATAGTTCAGACAGAGCGCATGTATGGAGTCATAGGAGAGCCAAAAAAAGCCAGAATAAATCTGTAAAAGAATAAGTAAATAAATGTGGAAATAATAGCAGCAATAAACAAAAGAATAAATTAGTAAGTAAAGTGGAAATAAAAGAATAAAAAAGCTTTTACCCTATTGCCTTTGCTTTTCCCTAAAAAATATAGTTCATGTATATGTTTATATTTCCACATTTTTTTATTTACTTATTTATCCCTATTTATATTTCCACATTTATTTTCTTAACTTTTCCAGATTAATTGTTTTTATGGCTCTTCTATGACTCCATACATGTGCAGTCTAAGAAAAGTGCTGCAGGGAACTACTACTCTTTAAATGTTGAAAAGTAATCGGAGTAATTGGCAGCATTTTATAGTTTTGCTTGAAAAAATGTTGATTTATTTTTAAATCATTTTCAGATTTAATTCACTGTTGATCAATTTATGAATTAATGGACTGATTGTTAGAGCTTTAGAAAAAGATCGATACAGTGTTACTGCAACAATAAGTGTGTTGCTGTTGAGATGCAACACACACACACACACAGACACACACACACACACACACACACACACACACACACAGAGACAGTGTTTGACCTGATGATGGCGCTGGATGAAAAGTCACGACCGTCTGGACTTCATCACTGTGACCATGAGAAGCAGCAAAGTCTCGATTGAGAAGCTGAAACCAGTTTTTACTTTTTCTGCCTGAAAGTGACTGAAATCAATCAATGAAAATCAATCAATCAGAAACTGATCATCAGTCTGTCGATCAGTTAATCGATGCATCGTTTCAGCTCATTTACCTACAAGAGGAGAGGAGAGATCTGTGTGTGTGTGTGTGTGTGTGTGTGTGTGTGTGTGTGTGTGTGTGTGTGTGTGTGTGTGTGTGTGTGTGTGTGTGTGTGTGTGTGTGTGTGTGTGTGTGTTGACAGATGCTGTGAGGAGGAGGAGGAGTGCACTCGGCTGAGCGATACTCCCTTTTTATTCTCTCTCTCAGCTTTCTTTCTCCCCGCCCCCACTGTGTGTGTGTGTGTGTGTGTGTGTGTGTGTGTGTGTGTGTGTGTGTGTGCGCTGCAGCAGCGTCTCAGTGCGGTCGGTTGGAGGACGAATGTTTTTCTGCTGCTCAGTCGGAGAGAGGTTGAGAGACATTAACTGAAAGCCAGAGAGAGAGAGTGTTTCACTGTGTGTGTGTTGCTGGTATTCACCGCCGGTCAGTTGGACGCCACACAGCTCAGAGAGAGAGAGAGTGTGTGTGTGTGTGTGTCGGCATCTGTGTTTATGTTCTTGGTTCTTCGTTTTTTTTCTTTTTCACCACAGAAGAAGAAAACTGTTTTTTTTTTTTTCTTCTTCTGCTGCAGTAGGAGAGAGAGTGGGCGAGCGAGGTTCAGCTGCATTACTGCTGCGTCTGTAGACTCACCAACAGGAGCTGGTATGTGTGTGTGTGTGTGTGTGTGTTGATTTGGACACTGACAGCTAGAGATAGATACATTCCTGTGCTGATTGATTATTGGTCATCGTTGAGATTAACGGTGGAGTCGATGGAGCGTCGCAGTGATGATGTCAGACGTGTTTGATGTTGTCGGACAAACCGCAGTCAGCTGATGTTTGATGTTGTGAGAATCAGCTGTTTTCAGATTCTATATTTAGTTTCCTGCTGCTTCTTGAGATGTCTACGCTCCGTCGCTTTAAATCCTCAATCCTCCTCAACTTAGAAAAACTGAAAGAAAATTTAACAGTACTGTGACGAGCGAAAGTTTGGACACCCCCGCTGAGTCAGGACTTGGTGGCCCCCCCCCCCCCCCCAGCCTCTGATCCAGGGTCTGAGTCCTGACTGGTGACTCTGATTCACCTGGTAACTACAGGTCCTGGTTGTGACTCACGTGTCGTCAGGACTCGTCTGTAAACAGAGGATTTATCTCCTCGTGTCACACGGAGCTGAATCCTCTGATTTCACAGACGTCGTCCCGCTCTGCATGATCTCCACGTGTCCGTCTGAACAGCTGCTGACCAGCTGCTGTCTGTTTTTGTCCTCCTGTCTGTCTGTCTACGGAGAGCGCAGAGGGACAAACACCAGCAGGAGTAAGTTCGGTCTTAGGCTCAGAGTTAAAGAAGTGAAGCAGTGAATGATTTCGTCAGTTTAGGAAACGAGCCGCTAACGACCTGTTAATGAAGTATTGATTAAAACCTGGAGTTGGCTGAATAAATGTAAACCATGTAGCTCTGCCTGTCCAGACTTCGTGAAGCGCCTTTTCCCACTTTAAACTAGAGCTGAAACTCTTTGTCCGTCAGCAGCAAATTCAATTTTTAATAATCGACTGAGCGTTTCGTTGATCTTTAAAGTAAAACTGGAAAACGTTGGTTCTTGTTTGTCCAGAGTCTCAGATTCATCAGACAAACGTCACCATAGACTGATGGACACTTTTGACT